AAAAAAAAAAAAAAAAAAAAAAAAAAAAACTTAAATGCCTCCAGCCACCAGCTTATATAAGGGACCAATGGCTTGGGTGTAAGATGGGAGGGCGAAGGGACTTCAGAGGCCTTTGAGAAATCATTCTAGAAAAGCCAAGAAACCATTAGATTCCTCTGTGACCTCCTGACTTTTAAATTGATGAGAATTTTTTTTTTTTTTGAGACGGAGTCTCGCTCTATTGCCCAGGCTGGAGTGCAGTGGCCCGATCTCAGCTCACTGCAAGCTCCACCTCCCAGGTTCACGCCATTCTCCTGCCTCAGCCTCCCGAGTAGCTGGGACTACAGGTGCCCGCCACCACGCCTGGCTAATTTTTTTGTATTTTTAGTAGAGACGGGGTTTCACCGTGTTAGCCAGGATGGTCTCGATCTCCTGATCTCGTGATCTGCCCGCCTCAGCCTCCCAAAGTGCTGGGATTACAGGCATGAGCCACCGCACGCGGCCGACGATGACAAAGTTTTAAAATTTAAGAATTCCATACAAGTCCAGCAGAACACACCTGCTGTCTGCATTCAACTCACAGGTCATCTGTGCAGGGACGTACTTACCTGTCAAGAATTGACTATAACTTGAGGCCGGGCACAGTGGCTCACGCGTGTAATCCCAGCACTTTGGGAGGTTGAGGCGGGCGGATCACCTGAGGTCAGGAGTTCGAGACCAGCCTGACCAAAACGGAGAAACCCCGTCTCTACTAAAACTACAAAAATTAGGTGGGCATGGTGGCACATGCCTGTAATCCCAGTTACTTGGGAGGCTGAGGCAGGAGAATTGCTTGAACCTGGGAGGCAGAGATTGTGATGAGCCAAGATCACGCCACTGTACCCCAGCCTGGGCAACAAGAGTGAAACTCCGTCTCAAAAAAAAAAAAAAAAAAAAAAAAAAAAATGCACAGAGCCGCTTAGCAGAGCTTCGGGCATAGTAAATACTGAACAAATGCCAACTCCTGTAGCTGGTGGCTTCACTGACTCTGAGTAAGGAGAGGACTCCTCCTTTAGTAAATAAATGATGATCTACTGTCAGAGATCGACCTGACAGTTAAGTCAAGACTTAAAGAATAATAAAAAATACGGGAAAAAGACCCATCTGAAGTAAGAAAAAAATAATAGGTACTAATTAAGATGGCTAAGCCAGGTTGGAGACAGGGAGATGTAGATTGCCTTAGGAAGGAAGGAAAGGAGGAGACGACCATAGGGGAAAATAAGAGAACTGAGCAAGGTAAAGAAAAATGAGAATAATAAAGAGCAGAGCAGGCCTGGCGCGGTGACTCACACCTGTAATCCCAGCACTTTGGGAAGCCGAGGTGGGCGGATCACGAGGTCAGGAGTTTGAGATCAGCCTGGCCAACATAGTGAAACGCCATCTCTACCAAAAATACAAAAATTAGTTGGGCGTGGTGGCGGGCGCCTGTAATCCCAGCTACTTGTGAGACTGAGGCAAGAGAATCGCTTGAACCTGGGAGGGGGAGGTTGCAGTGAGCCGAGATGCCGAGATCGCGTCCAGCCCGGGCGACAGTGCGAGACTCCGTCTCAAAAAAACAAACAACAAAAAAGAGCAGAGCAAATATTTAACTCTAAAAGAGGAGAAAAAGAAACCAGCAGAAGTGTTAGATAGGACCCAGGGAATACACATTTTTAAAAGAAGAGAATTCCCAGGGCCACCGGACACCAGGGCGTGAGAGCCTCCGGAGGCGGGGAGGCTACCCGGTCCCCGAAACCGACGGGGCCGCAGGAGGCCCAGGAGCCCCAAGTGCATCTGTCCGCACAGCCCAGCTGGTCCGCACCGTCCAGTGGCTCTGTTCACAGAACACAGACGCTGGAGCGAGTCGCCCAAGCAACGGCCCCGCCTCGCCCACGGGAGGCGCCGCTGATTGGCCGCATCCCCGTGGCCCCGCCCCCTCCCCTGCCCCCCACCCTCCCCGCCGCCCTCACCTGCGCGCTCTGGTCCGCGTCCCCGATCGGAAGCTCCACGGAGCGGGGAGGGTCACCCTAACGCGGCCGACCCCGGCCGGTGTCCCCGCGTTTTCCGTCCGGCTGCCCCATTGCAACTTCCGGCTTGCTGGGCCTTCTCGCGGCGCCCCACCTCCGGCCCGGGGCGCGGGGGCAATCGCCGCTAGGAGCACGCGGCGAGGGCACCCCAGCCTCGAGTCGGCTTCCGCCCGTGGGGAAACTGAGGCTGCCTGGTCGAGGGCCTCCACGGGGGAGCGCCGAGGCCTCCTCCATGCCTGGGACCCGGGGGTCTTAAGAAGCAAGAGTCCAACCTCCGGGACTAGGATCCGGATCCATGAGGCGCCAACCCCCGCCAGGGCGCCCAGGTCCAGCCTCCCCGGCCGAGGGTCGGCCTCACACTCCCCTGCTTCGGGTGTTTGGTTTTGTTTCAAAAATGGGACTATACTATATGGTCTACTTGGGACTTGCCCCCTCTGTGTGGGTTATATATATCTTAGAGAATGTTCAAAATAAAAAACATAGAGAAAAGGAGAAAAATAGGAGAAAAATGCAGCGTTGCCTTGCTTTTTTTTTTTTTTTTTTTTTTTTTTAACTAGGGTGCATTCTCTTATATGGGTCTGTTACAGTTTCTTTAACCAGGCTTCTACTCACCACCCACGTCTTGACACCCTTGCCTTGCAGTAACAGGAAACACCCCAACAGCTACTACCATGGAGCCTTGGTGGCTTTCTAGGAATGAACAAACATCTGAGCTTGCAAATAGGGCGGGAGTGGAGGCTATCCTCATACGCCCGCGGGAGTGTCCTCAGCCCCAGGATCCTGGCCTAAGCCTGGCTCACAAATCTCAGCCTGGGCAGCCTGCCTATCACAGTTGGGAAAACAGCCTATTCCTGTCTTGAACAAACCCCGGGAGGACAGGAAGAGCATCCCTAGGCAACACCACCAGGTGCTTCTCACTCTGTCGCCGAGGCTGGAGTGCAGTGGTGTGAGCTTGGTTTGCTGCAACCTCTGCTTCCTGGGTTCAAGTGATTCTCGAGCCTTGGCCTCCCTAGTAGCTAGAACTACAGGTGCACGCCACCATGCTGAGCTAATTTTTTGTATTTTTAGTAGAGATGGGATTTCACCGTGTTCATCAGAATAGTCTCTAACTCCTGGCCTCAAGCGATCTGCCCACCTTGGTCTCCCAAAGTGCTGGAATTACAGGCGTGAGCCAGCACGCCCAGTCAGCACTTCTTTATTTGATTATCAGGCTTGTTAGCTTCAGGCAAGCTGTGAACTTCAGGACAAGAAAACCTCAAATACCCACATCCTAGTATCCAGTACAGTGTCTCTACCTGGGAGCTGAGACAGCTTACAGGATGGGCAGGCAGGAGACTCTTTATTGGAACTAAGTTCAATAGTCCCTCACGCAGGCTTTGGGGTTGGCCCTGTGGGTTGGAAATTAGGGTAAATTAAATTACTTTCCCTTTAGGGGTTGGTGGATTTTTAGGAAGCCGGGACTCTGTCATCATCTGAAAATACCCATTTCTGATGCTACTGCCATTCCCTGTTACCTGATACTCAAAGCATCGCCCAGTGTTGGGTGGAGTTTCGGCTGCATTCACTCATACATGAGCCAAAGTCGCTAAAGCCAGCAGGGATGGGAGCCTGTAGGAGCCACTCTGACCAGCGCAGCATTGGAGGAACCCTACTGGAGGCCCCTCATGGGAGCAGATGGCAAGGGCGCCCAGGTACCTGCCTTGCTGTCCTTTTACTTCCTATCCCCACCCCAGTCTTGAGATTCCCTCCTCTCCATTCTTTCCCACAAATCTCTATCATGTTCTTCTCACTCTCTTCAGTGTGAAAAATGTAGAATTTCCATGTTTTCATCTCATTCTTTTAAAAATTGTGTTTTTGTGGCCGGGTACGGTGGCTCATGCCTGTGATCCCAGCACTTTGGGAGGCCAAGGAGAGCAGATCACCTGAGTTCAGGAGTTTGAGACCAGCCTGACCAACTGGAGAAACCCCATTTCTACTAAAAATATATATATAAAATACAAAATTAGCCAGGTGTGGTGGCGCATGCCTGTAATCCCTGCTACTCAGGAGGATGAGGCAGGAGAATCACTTGAACCCAGGAGGCAGAGGTTGCAGTGAGCCAAGATCACACCATTGCACTCCAGCCTGGGCAACAAGAGTGAAACTCCATCTCAAAAAAAAAAAAAATTCTGTTTTTCCGAATGCTTTATACTGTTTTGTTGTTGTTGTTGTTGTTGTTGTTTTAAGAAACCAATTAAGGATAAGAACCAGGGCTCCTTAGATAAATGGCCAGTTCTAGGACTCTGGTAAGAAATGTGAGAGATGAGCCTGGAGAATCTAGTGGTACCAGGAAGGACAGGAATGCTAAACAAAACAAAACAAAAGTTAGTGACAGGACATGTTTTCATTTATTTTTATTTATTTATTTATTTATTTTTTAATCATTATTATTATTTTGAAACGGAGTCTCGTTCTGTCGCCCAGTCTGGAGTGCAGTAGTGCAGTCTCCAATCTCGGCTCACTGCAACTTCCGCCTCCCAGGTTCAAGTGATTCTACTGCCTCAGTCCCCCAAGTAGCTGGGATTATAGGTACCCACCACCATGCCCAGCTAATTTTTGTGTTTTTAGTAGAGATGGGGTTTCACCAGGTTGGCCAGGCTGGTCTCAAACTCCTGACCTTAGGTGATCCACCCACCTCAGGCTCCCAAAGTACTGAGATTACAGGCGTGAGCCACCGTGCCCAGACACCCAGCTAATTTTTCAAAAATTTTTGTAATGATGAGGTCTCACTATGTTGCCCAGGTTGATCTCAAACTCCTGGGCTCAAGGGATTTTCCCGCCTCTCAAAGTGCTGGGATTACAGGTGTGGGCCACTATACCCAGACCTACTTCCTTCTTAATAATATATTTCTAAGTAATAACAGAATTGCCCAAATGAGCATCCTACAAGCAGTTGGCTCTGTGGAAACTCTTTTATGTCTCGGGGGTGCCCAGTGCCCTGGCTTTCCCTGCAGTACACAATTCTGCACTTGCAAAGGGGAGTGCCCCAAACAGGGAACTCTCTGCAGGTCTTGCTGGAATCAATAATATGTAAATACTAGAGAGGGATGTACTGCCACTCTTTAAGCAGTCACCTTGAAGATTGCTACTGGCAATAGAGCTTTCAGAGAGAATCACAAAGCAGAAAGTTCAAGGTCCTTTGAGAAGGAACTGACATGCAAATATTTTATGTTGTGTGTTTGTTTGTTTTTTCTTCTTAGAAACAGAGTCTTGATATTTGCTCAGTCTGGACTCCGACTTCTGGGCTCAAGTGAGCCAATGGCTCAGCCTCTCACGGAACTGGGACTACAGATGTGAGCCATTGCACCCAGCTTATGCTGGGAGTTATTCAGAATCATATGCTTTGGCACTACCTTGCAGTAAGAAAACTAAGGTGCTTAACCAGTTAGAAGGGCCTCACTCCTTATAGGGGTTTCAGAGCAGGGCCAAGATGGTCCTGAACAAGCCATGCTGGGACCACCTCCAGGACAAACCGTGGAGGTAGATTCAACACTCTCTCTCTTTTTGTGGCCTGTATAGGGACCAAAATACTTTCCCAGCGCTGTGCAGTCTTTGCAGCTGGAACATGGTTCTGTGTGTGTGTGTGTGTGTGTGTGTGTGTGTGTGTGTGTTTGAGACAGGGTCTGGCTCTGTCATCCAGACTGGAGTGCAGTGGTGTGATCATGGCTCACTGCAGCCTCAATCACCTGTGCTCAAGTGATCGTCCTGCCTCAGCCTCCTAAGTAGCTGGGACTACAGGCATGCACCACCATGTCCAGCTAATTTTAAAATATTTGTAGAGATCTCACTATGTTGCCCAGGCTGGTCTCAAACTCCTAGGCTCAAGTGATCTTTCCACCTCAGCCTCCCAAAGTGCTGGGATTAGAGGTGTGAGCCACTGCACTGGCCTGGACTGTGGTTCTAAGTGTTCACCCTCCCAAATCCCAAATCAACAAAAATTCTACTGACTGGGAGTGACCTACCTTCTGGGCAGGTCTTTTTTTTTTTGAGACAGAGTCTCGTTCTGTCACCAGGCTGGAGTGCCGTGGTGCCATCTCAGCTCACTACTATCTCCGCCTCCTGGGTTCAAGCAATTCTTCTGCCTCAGCCTCCCGAGCAGCTGTGACTACAGGCGCCCGCCACCACGCCCAGCTAATTTCTGTATTTTTAGTAGAGACAGGGGTTTCACCATGTTGGCCAGGCTGGTCTTGAACTCCTGGCCTCAGATCATCCGCCTGCCTTGGCCTCTCAAAGTGCTGGGATTACAAGAGTGAGCCACCGTGCCCGACCTTCCCGGGCCTTTAAAATAATAAATTTGCTGCAAATCAAGCTGCCCCGGCTCATTTTCTCCCTTCCCCGGTGTCCCCCGGGGCTCCTTCCTCATTTCCCATCTCCCCTTCTTCCTTGCAGAGGTTTTGGACTCCTAATAATTTCAGCAAGCAGCTGTGTTCTCCTAAGAGACCCCAGTGCCCTGCACTTTGCCTATTGTTATTCTTCCTCCGCCCTCCAGCAGCCACAATAGTCTTTCCCCGCAGGAAACACCACAACTCTGAGGTCCCAGAACCGCCCCAAAGCCACAGATGGCTATTGAGTGCTTTAAATGGGGTGAGGCGGAGCTCAGATGTGCTCTTACTGTAAAATGCACACTGGATTTTGAAGACTTTTATGAGAAAAAAGAATGTGCAGCAAGTCATTAACAATTTTCTGTGTTTGTTGAAATAACATTTTGGATATAACGAGTTAACTAAATCGTATTATTAAAATTAATTGCTGGCCGGGCGCGGTGGCTCAGGCCTGTAATCCCAGCACTTTGGGAGGCCGGGGCAGGCAGATCAACTGAGGTTGGGAGTTCGCGACCAGCCTGACCAATATGGAGAAACCCCTGTCTCTACTAAAAATACAAAATTAGTCAGGTGTGGTGGTGCATGCCTGTAATCCCAGCTACTCGGGAGGCTGAGGCAGGAGAATTGTTTGAACCCAGGAGGTGGAGGTTGTGGTGAGCCGAGATTGGGCCATCGCACTCCAGCCTGGGCAACAAGAGCGAAAATCCGTCTCAAAAAAAAAAAAAAAATTAATCGCACGTGTTTCCTTTTACCTCTTTAATGGTGGCTACCAGAAAATTTAAAATTGTGGCTGTGGGTGGCACCACACTTCTCTTGGAGGACACTACTCCAAAGGTTCCCCCTCCCACTCCGCACACTTCACCCCAACTGTGTAGGGAGCACACTCTCTTTAGCGCCCCCTAGTTTCAGGTACGGATTCATACAGGTACGGATTCATACACGTTTATTACCTTTAAGGTCTCAGTGCTTTTGCAAACCTCTTCTGCAACCCTCTCCTGCAATTCATCTGGCAGGTAGGATCATCGTTCATGCATTACAGAGGAGGCAGTGATGGTTTTCAAATGAAAAGTGAGTTCGCCAAGGACACATGCAGCAGGGCTGTGGAGGGCCTAGGGCTGGAAGCTCAGTCTGTCTACTTTTTCCATCCCTCGTTTATTTCCAGAGCTGTTCCTACACCTGAAAAGCGCCACTCCCCCTGCACACCCTGGCAGACGACCAGATTAGATGTCACTGGCAGCCCAAACATCAACAGACACCCAGCATCTTTCTGAAGCGACCATAAGCTATTCGAGGAAACATGCACAGGGTCCTGCTTGTCACGGTCTTGTCCCCAATGCCCAGGGCAGTGAGAGCAGCTCTGCCCGGAGGCCAGTCCCTGAGGCTCCCTCGGTGGCCTCAGAACTCCGAGTACACACGTGCAGTCCTTACCTCCCAAAGATAAAACCTCCCACTCTGCTCTTCACCTATTTCAGACTGCTGTCCCATATATGGTCACCAGAGACATGAGAACAACTACAGATAGCCCCAAACTGAAAACTGCCCACTGTCTACCCATAGTAGAATGAATAACTGATATAATGAGGAAAATCATTCAGCAATGAGAGGGAAAGAACGCTCGATGGCATGGAGTCCCAGCTGTAGACCCAGCTCCTTGGTAGACCAAGGTGGGAGGATCACTTGAACCCAGGAGTTTGAGTCCAGCCTGGGAGATATAGCAAGACCTTGTCTCTAACAAAATAAAATAAAATAAGTGGAATTGGGAGAATTACAATTTTAAAAGAAAAATTTTTAGTAGAGATGGGGTTTCACCATGTTGTCCAGGCTAGTCTTGACCTCCTGACCTCAGTTGATCAAAGAGGGTGAGTGCAGTGGCTCATGCCTGTAATCCCAGCACTTTGGGAGGCCAAGGCAGGTGGATCACCTGAGGTCAGGAGTTCAAGACTAGCCTGGCCAGCATGGTGAAACCCCATCTCTACAAAAAATACAAAAAAAAAAAAAAATTAACTGGATGTGATGAGAGAGTCTCCACGCCTCTCGCTTCCGAGCCTCTAGTGGTTGCCTGGGCCCGCGAAGGCCACACCCGCTCCGGCGCTACAGCACCCCACCCCGCCCCGGACACGCCCCCTCCGGCCCTACAGAACCCCGCCCCGCCCCTTGGCCTTTGGGCCCACTTCCCTGGGGGCGGGTTTTTCTGACCCTGCCACTGGACAAACTATGGTGTGGGAGGAGCCCGCGACTGGAAGCGCGAGGCGCTGGACGCGGGGAATGCAGAGCAGACCAAGGAGAAAGACCGTCGTGCGCAGGGAGCACTAGACAACTGAAATAAGAACAGGATGAGCTCAGATGTTAAGTGCAGGAAAACAAAGACCCGGCAGATGAGCCAGTCAGGCGGGTCCAGGCCCCAACGGACCGAGGGGTCTAGGCCGGGGAAACGGCCAACACCTGAGAGGTGGTCATGACTCCCCGGGGGCTCTGAACGCTCAGTAAGGCACCAGCTGCAGCCAAGGGCACAACCCAAGAAGGCACTTTAAGCACAGGGAAGGAATTGGTTTGGGCCCAAACGCTGTTGGTGAGGTCACTTCCCTCCTGGGGAGCCCTTGCTTCGTCATCGGTAAAGTTGGGACAAAACCACCTGGCAGGACTTGGGAGGACCTTAGGTGACCATGTAGATGGAGCAGCCTCTGCCCCATCACATCCTCCTGTTCCATTTTTTCCTAGCACCGTCACTACCCCTTTGCCCTAAAATGTAAGACCCTGAGAGCAGGGCCTTATTCCTCCAGTTTCTCTCTGGGTCCTTAGCCCCTGCTTTGTAACAGTGCCTGGCACACAGGAGGCCATTGCAAAGAGTGGTCAAGTGAATGAAAAGCCTAGCAAAGAAACCAGCACACTGTGGGCATTTAAAAATGGCAGCTCTTAGCCCAAAAGAAAGATGGGCAGACCTGCAAGGGGCACCAGGCCAGTCTTCATTTGGGAGGTGGTAGTTCTGGCTTGGGGGATGGTTACACTCTCAACATGCTGGGATTGAAATCTGGATTTCTCACTTTGTCTTCATGTCCCTGGCCCCGCCCTCTTCCCATCCCGCTCCCAAACTGGGAGCTTAAGGGTTAACTCTAGGAAGCCCCTCATCACCTGGATGGGATGGGACTGGGGCAAGGAACTTCCTGTTCCATTTTCCCAGAGCCCTTCCCTAGGCTGGCGGAGGCTGGCTTTGGCCCTGGAGTCCTCAGAGAACCCCCCTAGCATCTCTGCCTGTGTAGTGGGGACTCCGAGTGGTGAGTTGGAGGGAGGCCGGGGTGCAGGCTGCCAGAACGGGTGCTAGGAGTTCACAGCAGCTTGGAGAGAGCAGGGGAGGCTCCAGGCCTTGGTGCTGGGTGGGGGCTGGAAGAGCCTTGGGAGGATGTAGAGGGTCTGCTGGGGAGCCTTGTGTCAGCCAGCTTGGTGGACCTGTTGCGAGGGGGGCGTTGGGGAGGAGGGAGATTGCAGAACTTCCTGTGACATTGAAGAAGGCTGGCTTCACATGCTCCCAGGTGGACTGATGGGCCTTGTCCACTCAGCCCAGCACGCAGAGGGAAGCCCACCAACAAACAAGAAATCAGGCAGCTGCCAACTGTGTCCAGGGAGAAAGGGGGTGTTCCCGGCCGCGGACCCCACCTTTGCCCCCTTCCCCAACTCTGGGCTCTCACATGACCTGGATGGGTCTCGTGGCAGCACCTCCACCCTGGGCTCCAAATTAAGCTGGTCAAATGTTGGATGGTGGCTGTAGAGCCTCCGCCTGCTTCCCTACCCAGCCCACCCCCAACAGAGGTGCATATTAACAGAGCTTTTGTCCTGGAGATCTGGGGGGAGGGAGAAATTCTCTGAAGCCAACTTGTCTCAAATTCCACCTCTTTGAAACCTTTTGGAGAGACCTCACCTGGAGATTCCGGCCTCCCTGTGTGGCTCGGCCTGAGGGCTGAAATTTGGAATCCTCTTATTTTTTTTCTGTTTCATGCTGTGATATTTCGGTTAAGGCTAGGAAAATGGCATAGAGCAGGTGGAGATCAGTTCCTTTTCTGTTTCAGAGCTTGGCACTGTGTTCTAGACCTACGTTCTCAGCCTAAAGCAAATCTTGGCTCCATCTGGTGTGACCCTGAGCATGTCACCAAGTGCAACTTTGCACTTCACAAAGGGAGAAATGATTGTTTAGTGCACGGGCTGGACCGGGATGAAATGAGCCTAATCGCTGGACGCTCAGTACCTGCCCGCTTCTCCTGCAGGGCAGTGGATGAGCAGTGATTGGTTTTCTTGTTATTTTGTGCATGCGACTAAAAACCAGTGAAACAC